TTAGAAGTATTTTAGTTCACGTTTACTCAAGTAGTTGTTAACTAATTAAACCTTGTAAAGTGTTACCAAAATATTTAATATTTTTCTAAAGTATTTTCATTCAATTTTATGTTATTAATGGTACAATTGGAGGAGTTGAGTTATAGTTTGGATTGAAAAATGATTAGGAATTTTAGAATATCTCAGTATTTGGGTTGTTTACACACCCTCCTTTTTTTTTCAAACCTGTACGACTTTCATTTCTGCAGTGTTTTTGTCCTTGCAATAAAAGTAAATGGGGTCCAAATGTTGTCATGTTGAGTTCAGATGCTCACTATCAAATAGTGCAGAATCTTAAACGCTTTTGATTCATTATAACGGGTTATTTACTGTCTTTTTTCATCTCGTACTTTTGGACCCCACTGTGTTTCACCTAGTCGTGACAATTCTAGAATGCTCTTTATAGACAGAATGTAAAGTAATATTATACCTTCTGTCTAATTTACAGTACCTTCATGATAACACTGTCTGTTCCGTCTTTGTCACTTTCTTATTCAGGTGCGAATTGTCAGTCAGTACAGCCAGCTCAGCATTTAGACACCCTGACTGCTTTGGGACAGGACACTGTAAAGATGTTGAGTAGCTTCGCCCAAGGAGCGTCAAATTGGATTCAGACTTTCATAGATCCAAAGGCACCACCATCATCAAATGGTGCGACTACATCATCAAATGGTCCTTCGCCTTCCAAGTCACATCCTGTTAAGAGACCACAGGAAGTGCAAGATTACCCAGAGAATTTTGAGCCTCTACGGTCTAGATGTCTGTCAGATATACAGACACCTCGCACACCAATAATGAAGAACCCATTTGTTTCTCCACTACTTGCTCCTGACAAACTTCTCAAGGGCCTTCCACCGGTGCACATAGTGGTAAGACATGATGAACCTGCATTTCCCGAGATAGTGCTGTAACTCTTATATTTACAATAAAGATTATATTTAATGCCTTGATTGTTTTCCTCAGGCCTCTGCTTTGGATGCCCTGTTAGATGATTCAGTGATGTTTGCCAAAAAGCTGAGGAATATGAACCAGCCAGTGACGCTCACTGTGGTTGAAGACCTCCCTCATGGCTTCCTGAGCCTATTTCAGTTCTCCAAAGAAACCCAGGAAGCAGCAGATCTTTGTGTGAAACGAATCAGAGAAGTCTTCCAGCAAGAGGAACTACCTGCTGATAAGAGGCAGCCAGGGCTTAATTAGAGCACAATTGTCTAAGAAATACAGTGAATACATCTAATAAATAAAGTGAAAGGTCCATCCACCAGCTCAACTTCTGGAAACAACTGTAGATTCAGCTTGCAGTACCAACAACACCATCATATCTGTGAAGGCTTAGAGTGTATTAGAGTGATTAATTTTTAGATGTTCGCAATGACCATTAACTGTTCTGCTCTGTTCTGCCCTGACAGAATGTCCACCAAAATGTCACCATTGTGCCTGTAGTGATGCAATAAGATCTAAGTTGCTTTTGCACTGCAAACCAACACTTTTTTTTAAGCAACTGCACTGTGGCTTGTTTTTCTTGTTTTAGCTAAAATCCAGTGGTTTGAATGTTTAAACATGAGGGTGTCAAACACACAGCCTTACTTTCTTTCATTTAATTTAACCCTTGTTCTGTGTTTAAAACCCTGTTCAAATATATGACCAGCCTTTTAAAACTGCTCATTACTCTATATTATCACCAAATATTGGATTCAGTCTTTTGTCTACTTGTTTTCTTTCAATTAGCATAGGTTTTGCATCTCTTTTTTGGATCTGATGGATCGTAGGCCTCGTTTATCTGAGCTTATGTACCTCCATTTTTGACCGAAAAAAGCATTATTTGTGGATAATTTTGGCAATATTGAATAAAATTTGGAAAAAAAAAATGTATCTCAGTAGTGTGCTTTAATGTATTACTTGGAAGTTTGTTTTGAAATAATTGTATTGTGTAGAAAATGGTACAGTCACACTATGTTCTTGGTCAAAAATGACAAGCCATTAAAAGTTGAGACTGAAAATAAAAATTTTAGGAGCATGTTAATCATATTCATGTTCATATATGTACACCCCATCTACCACACACATGCACATACATGCACGTGTTCTTGTGCACAAACTATTTTGAGTATTACACATTCCTTTTCACAGAGATGAACTTTATCTATTCTGAGCTGCAACCAATCATCCATCCAACATTACCAAACCTGTAGGCACAGACAAGTGCAAGCACGTGTGCATTCACAAAATGCATGTTCATGTACACAAACATTCAGTTTACATTCTTTCGTTTTCACAGAGATGAACTTTATCCTATTCTGAAGTGCATCCATTCATACTTCAAACATTACCACATATGTGCACACACACACTTGTATGGTTTCCATAGATTTTATCCCCTAGCCCTACCCCTAAACAACCCTCATTTTACTTTCTTAATTCTGTTATTTAAAAAAAACAACAACAACAACATAATTTACCGGTAGTATGATTTGTAAGCCGTTTTATTCATGGGGACCAAAAAAAGCCCCTACAAGATCAAACATTTTCCCATAACATCGGGACACACACTTTTGAACTGCAGTCTTTCCCCTGCAGTGACCCTGCTTATCATTTGTTGCAATGTCTTTGATCAAGAAGCTCACACACAGACAGCTTCTTGACCATTGTGCTGACATTAAATGAATAAGCAGGGTGCTTTGTGACATTTATCATCTCTGTGCCATTACTGTTTTTAGATTTATTGTGAAACATGAAAATCCCAAAACACATTGTTATAATATTTTGTCTGGAAGATGTGATGAAATGAGGAACAAGAAAGAAAGACTTGGTGAGGTCAGTGTGGAGCAAACAGAGTTTGTGTGTGTGTGCGCGCACGTGTATGGTAATGTTAGATGATGAATGGATATTGGATGCAGTTCAGAATAAAAGTTAATCTCTAGGAAAAGTGTGTAATACTCAAAATAGTTTGTCCAGATCAATGGTAACCCTCGTCCCTATAGGAGACAATTGGGATGTGTCGAACTAACACTAAGGGGGTCGTCTTTGGGAGCCCCAATCACCACTGAGAGTATCGGGACAATGGAATTGGCGTGTAGAATTTGCATGCCAAGCCATGACTACTGACATATGGGGATAGCAAGCCACTGGAATGCAATACACCTTTCAGGTTTGTGCTGAGGAGCGAGGTTGTGTCAGGACAGATCCCTCCATCAGGGAACAAGGATAAGTAATCAAAACGTTCCCTTTCTCTTAGGTCACGTTCAACGTGGTGTTGAAACAACACTAAGGTGTCCCTCTACTAAATACCACCACAATTGCTGTACTGTGTTGCGAGAAAAGGTGGTGCAAATGTGAGCAAGCCTCTGCGTGCAAATTACAAGTGCAACAACGTTCACTTGTAACCTTCTTACACCCAGGGTCTTCTTACACCGAAATTACCTCAGGTCTCCCATCCAAAGGACCTACGTACCTCAAAGAGGTCACTGTAGCTGTAGGGCCTGTTTCTGATTTTGGAATTAATTTTAGGAAAAAAGTTGCGTACACCTGGTTTCCTCCACCAAACTCGAGTAAGAGTGCTAAATGATGGCGAAGGTTTCAGGACACTCAAGATGAAACTGTCATTCTGAGATTAATTTTGGGTATAGCCCAGCCCGCAGCTCTACATATGTCTGCTAGTGAAGCACCATTTGCCAAATCCTAAGTGGCAGCAATGCCTTGAGTGGAGTGAGCTCTCCCTCCTAATGGGCACAGTAGATTTTGGGCTTGATAAGCCCGGAGAATGGCATCCACAATCCAGTGGGCCATTCTCTGTTTGGAGATAGCCTTCCCCTTCTGCTGAGCAGAGAAAGAGCTGTTCAGATTGTCTGAAAACCTGTGCTCGGTCCAGGTGCGCACAGGACACAACAGGGACGAGGCTGGGTTTCCAGGTTGCTTGCAAGTTTACCACTTGGTCCCTGAAGGAAGAAGTGGGAAGCTTGGGCACATACCCAGACCAGGGTCTCAGGATAATGTGAGAGTAGGCTGGCTCAAAAATGTTTGGGGAAGTAGTAGCATTTTTCTGGGGGGAAAATCCTCTCTGGGTCTAAATGACCCAAGCCAAAGAACGTAACTTTTTATTATTATTAAATGAGTCAATTCTGAATTGTGCTTTGCACCTCAAAATTGCTCATTAAAGCAGCGTAATGTTGCTTCCGCACTAGTGAGCATGTATTGCGCATACACTCTCCATGGTTTTACTGAAAAAAATTATTGGCCCACATAAGGTGCCATTTAGGCTCATTTGCCAATGCGGCTCATGACCTAATTTCTTTGACACCCCTACTCTAATATGAAATTATAATGAAATACAGTGTATCCTTGTGTTCATCAGAAGAAAGAAATCCATGCAGGTTTGGAACAACTTGAGGGTAAAGGATGACAGAATTTTCATTTTGGGGTGAACTTGCCTTTAATGATGTGGTTAGTGCTTTATGTGCCAGACTTTCATACTGTTGAACCTGTATATTACCATGTTACCTCATCATTTCCTCAAAAAGAACTGGCCTTTTGCTGTTAACTGATACTAGTTACCAGTTCCTGTTGCAGAAAACTAACAACTGAAAGGTGTTCATAACATAACCAAATTAGATGCAATGTTTTAACTAGATGTTTGTACTCTTTTTTTGTTGTAACAACAGCAATTGTTACTAGAATAAAACTGTGGTAAGTATTAGTCACCATACATTTGTATAACAGTACGATTCTGAAATAATTCATTGATTAATATTATTTTTTGCATTTCAATATAATATATATATATTTGTTTATTGTTATTTTGCCTTATTTATTATGATGACAGAATGCCTAAAATACTCTGTGGTTACCATAGTAGTTTTCAGGAGAAAAAGAAAGAAACGCAGTAAACAAATCAATAGTTAGGGTCATAAGAGCCTCCGTACCGTTGATGGCAGCATTTCACTTGTGCAGTGCTCATATGAACCCCAATGACGTTCAATTCATGTCGACCGTGTTGACAGAAATACAACAAAGAGACGAGCTGCTTGTAGCGACGTGAGAAATAAATACCACATTGATAACAAAGTAATTTACCTAATATGTAAGGCAGCATAGGATATTGATACGAATAAAGGTAAATGTTTGGTTTTTGCTGTCGTGTATTGTGAAGTAATATTGTAAGGTTAACCACCTAGCTTAGCACAAATCATCTGCTACGTTAAACAATTTGATGTCAGTCTGTTCAAGATTTTTTATGATTAGCCTTAAAGTGATTAACATGTAAAGCGATGTTTATATTATTTGTGTCCTGGAAACAATTATCTGTCTCATTCCGTGTCTGAGATTCTCGTGTTTAAAAAGTTAAAGCCAGACTTTTATTTCATATTCGATGGTTGTGAAAACTATTGAAGAGACACGCTGCCCGTTAATGTATTTTCCGTTTAAAGGTGGTAACGTAAAAGTTTTGATTTTAGTGTGCTAAAAAATAATAATTTGTAAATAAGGGAAGGTAAATATGATTCTAAGCCAGTGACATTGATTTACCAACTGTTGGAAAGTAAAATATTTTAAATGGGAGAAACTTGCACTGTTATTGACGCTGACAAAAAAGTATAATAATGTTACCATGTTTTTATTTATTTCTACCGTGTTAATTCAATGTAGTTCCTTTAATTATCACATAAATAAGATGTTTTTTTTTAAATATGGTAATCATTATTATGGTGCAAATCAAGATACTATTGTATCTCCATTTGTTACCATCACTTAACCACCACAGTAGCCTACTTTTTTTTTCAGGGAAGCATTTAGCAGTTTCATAACATTCACAGTTTTATTTTATTTTTATTTTTTTACAATAATAACTATTGGTTCCATATATATATATATATATATATATATATATGGAATCCCTCAAAGCTTCCAGAATTTTCCCAGGAAATTTGTAATTTGCAGAGTGAAATGTCTTTGATTTCCATATTGTTTCTCTGCAGGTGTGAACACAACTGGAGGGCAACACAGAGGAAAGGACATACACAAGACTTTCAACTGGCTATTCATAGAACTGGCTTGTTTTCAGTGCTGTTTGACTTTTGAACTGCATCCCCCTGAAGTGTTACTTTGACTATTCAATTTTTTGAATGTGTGATTCTACTCTCAGGTGTGCTGGAATGAATTCTACCTACCAGAGTTTTACTGCATTTGAACAAGAAAGAGTGAAAACCGGCAGCCAAAAGACCACAAAGCACTGTATTTGCACAGTGTAAATATTGTGTAGACACACAAAAAGAAAGTTCTGGGCTTCGGAGCATTACGTCTTTCTGTACTTCCCATTGCCTTAGCAGACTAGTTATTTATCACACCTGTCCAGGTATAATTTTCTATACTGCGTGCAGGTGTGCAATATTTATGCAAATAAATATTTATTTCTCTTCTTTTCGAAGAGCTCTTGTAAAACACCTCGAGTGGCAGCATTGCTCTTATTAATAGAGCCTAAGCTATATGTTGAATTTGTAAATATCTAAAACAAAAAATAAGATTCTTTAGTGAAACCTTTTTACTGAGACCTTGGACACTGTGAATGGTTCGTTAGATCTTATTAGACCGTATTAGGTAAGGCATTCGAAAGTGAAAAAGACGTGGGGGAAAAGGAATATAAACTGAAAATACCCACAAAGCAGTGATAAAATGGCAACAAGGATGGAGAATGCTGGCCCAGCTGTCATGGGGTTGAACACACACAACAGGCAGTTTGTAGGACAGCCTAAAGCCCCTTCTCAATTAGGACCCCAAACTGCAAGTCCTCAGCCCATGGGGACCCAGAAACCTGAAACCAATGCAATTCAGGAAGGACCTGGCATCAGGTAAGCTTATCATTGTGTCACATTCAGACTTGATTTCTTAGCTAGAATCTGTCCATTATATATAACATGTCTGTGTGCACTATCTTTAAGTTTTTTTCTTTTTAATGTTTTTAAAAGAAGTCTTTTTAAAAATGTATTTGACTAATGACTGTAAAAACTGTTTTTATTTCAAATAACAAATGTTTTCTATTTTAACATATTTAAAAATCAAATGTATTTCTGTGATGAATTTTCTTCAGTGTCGCATTATCGCTGAGCAATCTTTGTAATATGCTTATTTGCTGCTCAAGAAACATTTCTTTCTTTCTTTTGTGTTAAAAGCAGTTTCATGGAAAGTTAACTATGCTACAATTTTTTTAGGATTCTATGATGGGATTGTTTTTAGAAAGTTCGAAATAGAAATCTTTTGTAACATTACTGTCAAAGTTTATTACTTATTTAATGTGTCCTTGCTGAATAAAAGTAGTAATTTCTTTAAAAATAAACTTTTAAATGGTGGTGTGCAATCTGTTTATGTATACTGTATATATTCATAATTAATCACTTATACTACTTACACACAGGTTTGGTGACGACTGGAAAAGAAGCCTCCAGCTTCCCTCCAAGGACAATAGAGTCAAAACTTCCGTAAGTCTTTTAGTGAAATATAATATAATATAAAATAACAGTGTAATCTAAGTCCTTAAATGGTGTAATGCTGATACAATCTCCTTCTGATCCAACTATTTCATGCTCTTTCTCTCAAGGATGTGACTGCAACCAAAGGAAATGAGTTTGAGGACTACTGCTTAAAGAGAGAGCTGCTGATGGGCATTTTTGAGATGGGTTGGGAAAAGCCCTCCCCCATTCAGGTAATAGATGCGGCAAATGCAAAACCTAGACTAGTAGACAATTTTTGCATATGAATATGCTAGATAAAAACCAGTGTCCTCGCTTTTTAAATTCTTTATCTGTTCTTTATCTAGAATAGTATTAAGCATTGTAGAACATCCATGGTGCCATGGTTTTTAAGCCTCTTTTATTAGAGTCCGCCCCCACCCCAGACCTGATTAGTGACAAACATGATGCAAGGCAACAACTCACTGCAGAATGGAGTCTAGAGTATAGTTAAAATGCCCCTAATATTCAAGATATTGGGGAAAAGATTCCCCTGTGAGTGCAAATTCTATATAAATTTTATACAACAGTTTAATAAATTTGTTAATATTATGTTAATAATTTTTTGTACACAATATTATCTGTTTTTGCTCCATTTTGCCAACGAAAATATTACCTATAAAGCCAGAGTAGAACTCAGTTGAGTGTCTCCAAGCAAGCACGTTCTCAATGAGAGAGCCGATTGCTTCATTCCTGAATGAATCAGCCTTTTGAACTATCGAATGAATGAATAACTTTATAACTTACTCATTAAGACATTTACCACCACCTACTGGCAATTTCAGTTTCTTATTTAGGGTATAATATAATAAAAAAGATCAGTTAATCATTCTCATGTCCTTTCAAATCTGTAAGACTTTCTTTCTTATGCGGATTTTAAAAGAAGATATTTTGAAGAATGTTGGAAACCGCTAACTGTTTTGGTTACCATTGACTTCCATTGTATAAACAACAACAAAACTTAGACACATTTTTTAATTAAATTCTAAATAATGACAGGAAAATCAATGATGATGATTTGAAACCCATTAATATCTTGGCATTATTTAAAAGTAATTGCAGTGTAAATGCATTCATGCCACCTCTGAGCTGCAGTAAACGGTCTGTAAATGTATCTAAATACTAATTCAGATGCAGCTTCTAATGAAAATAATAAATCATGGCAGTTGTAGCCTAAAGGTTTGTGTAATAAATGCCGAATCAAACACAATTTGTCTTTCTAAAGCTACTTTTTGTAATGTTTATTTGATGCTCATCTCAAAACAGACTATGACACATGATATCATTAGATTAAAAAATGGATTTACTTGACAGCCCTATATATAAAATGTATACTTATTATTTGTATTATTACAAATTACAATTTTTAATCAACCTACCAATCTTTCTGAAAGATATTGGTATCTTCAGTGTTTATGCTTAATATTTTAGGAGGAGAGTATTCCTATTGCCCTCTCTGGACGTGATATACTGGCTCGTGCCAAAAACGGGACAGGAAAGAGTGGTGCATACCTGATCCCCCTACTGGAGAGAATTGACATGAAAAAGGATCATATTCAGGGTATCGCTCTTTCCCAAAATTGTTTTACATATTACACATAGATAAACATTTTTTTTATCCTCCTTTTTTTTTACTGTGCTATATTTTGCCTGCAGCCATTGTGATGGTTCCCACTCGTGAACTAGCTCTACAGGTCAGTCAGATCAGTATTCAGATCAGCAAACACCTGGGTGGTGTCAAAGTCATGGCAACCACAGGTGGTACAAACCTTCGAGATGATATTATGCGCCTGGATGAGACAGGTAATGCTCATGCACATAAAATATACCTAATCATAAAAAGATTACAGTGTGATGATCTTCTGCAATAAAAACATGTTGTTTAAAACTCTCTTCTGCAGTTCATGTTGTTATAGCAACACCTGGCCGAATTTTGGACTTGATAAAAAAGGGTATAGCCAAAGTGGATAAAGTTCAGATGATGGTTATGGATGAGGTGAGCATCGCACAAGCTTGCATGCCCATTCAGAATATTAATAAAATGTTATTCCCTGTTGCACACTGTCATAATTGCACATCTTAAGATAGTTATTTAGGTGTTTAGATGTTAACACAACCAATATCAAAGTTCAAGCTGTTCATTGCCTGTTTTATTATAGGCTGATAAGCTGCTCTCTCGGGACTTTGTGGTTCTTATTGAGGACATCATTGGTTTCCTTGCGAAAAACAGACAGATACTGCTCTATTCGGCCACGTTCCCCATCAGCGTACAGACGTTCATGGTCAGAGAAATCTTTTAAACACAATTATGCTTACATTCTGCTTCTCTCTTTTTACATCTGAAGGTTTTCTCTTTATTCACTTTTGTGTCTGTAGGCAAAGCACCTGCAGAAGCCCTATGAGATTAATCTGATGGAGGAACTGACCCTAAAGGGCATTACCCAGTACTATGCTTACGTCACGGAAAGACAGAAAGTCCACTGCCTCAACACACTGTTCTCCAGGGTAAATAGTGAATTTCACTTTAGAACATTTAATAATCAGGTAATAGAACAAGTTATATTTGGGCTGGGTAAAATGTCATGTCACATGTCAATTTTAAAGGGATACCCCACTTTATTTTTTTTTGATTAGGCTCATTTTACAACTCCCCCAGAGTTAAACAGTTGGGTTTTACCGTTTTCGAATCCATTCAGCCGATTTTCTGATATTTAGAAGAATATCAGTAACCAGGTAGTTTCTGGTCTCATTAACTTCCATAGTATATATTTTTTCCTACTATGGAAGTCAATGGGACCAGAAACTGTGTGGTTACCAATATTCTTCTAAATATCAGAAAATCGGCTGAATGGATTCGAAAACGGTAAAACTCAACTGTTTAACTCTGAGGGAGTTGTAAAATGAGCCTATTTCCAAAAAAAGTGGAGTATCCCTTTAACACCTAACCTATAGATACAAAAAAAACAGCACTGGGCTGAACTTCCAAAACATTGCTGTGTGCTGGATTAGTATGCGCATACATATGGAGTTTTTATCAGCTGAGAACTCGTGTAGGGCTTATAAAATGTGAAAAAGAAGTCAAAACAGCACCAGAAATTCCTCTTTTTGTAGAATTGAATTGTAGTGGGCAATATTGCAACTACGACGAGAAAAAACTGTCCTTTTTAGGGTCGCATCTTGTGACATTACGTGCTGTTTTTTATTCGTTTAGCCTTCTTTGGTCCATCTATGTTGCGTTCATATTTCAGTCAAAACACACCAGAGTTAGTTAGGAAGCAGACCGAGACCCACATTTTGAGAAGTCTGTATTGGTGCGCACCAAGGATTGCATGACAGTGTTACACTTATTCAAATGAACCGCACCAACATCAATCGTTTAAATTGAACCAAACCTGCCAAGTGTGAACACTGGATTACACTACACAAGGTTTGCAAAGATTTTTGCCCTGATTTTCAGATTTACAAGACAAAACAGATTTTGGAGTTGACAGATTTCACAGAAAACAAAGTAGTGTATAATGGGCACAGACTCCAATTTCTTTAGCTTCAGATTATGATTCCATCCAGTCCGAGGATATCAAAACATATTTGATATTTTGAGTCGATTTTAGAACCATATCGTAGTGTATGAAGCATTGCTACTGTATATTATGTAATATACAAGTGATGCATTTGCATCAATAACAATAAAGTGCATAGTTAGTCTACTGTATTAAAGGATTAGTTCACTTTTGAAAAAACTTTTGCTGATAATTTACTCACCCCCATGTCATCCAAGATGTCCATGTCTTTCTTTCTTCAGTCGAAAAGAAATGAAGGTTTTTGATGAAAACATTCCAGGATTTTTCCCCATATAATGGACTTCAGTGGGAACCAGGCGGTTCAAGTTCCAAAAGAAACTTTAAGTACAAACTGCAAAGTTGTTCAAAGGGCTTTAAATGATTCCAGACGATGAATAAGGGTCTTATCAAGCGAAACGATCACTCGTTTTGTAAATAAATAACAAAGTTTAAGTTTTATAAGCTCAAATGCTTGCCTTGCTCTGTTCTGTAACGCACCCCTGTTCGAACTCGTTCATCAAAATGAACAAATCTTTTTCCGAGTCATTTGGTTCATTCGGCGAAAGAAACGAACGAATTGATTCGGAAAAAGATTTGTTCATTTTGTTGAACGAATTCGAACAGGAGAGTCACGAACGTGCACCACAGAACAGAGCAAGGTGAGCGTTTGATCTTATGAAACTTAAACTTTGTTATTTTTTTAAAAAAATGAGCGATTGTTTCACTTGATAAGACCCTTATATATCGTCTGGAATCGTTTAAAGCCCTTTGAACAAGTTTGCAGTTTGTACTGAAAGTTTCTTTTGGAACTTGAACCGTTTGGTTCCCACTGAAGTGCATTATATGGAGAAAAATCCTGGAACGTTTCCATTAAAAACCTTAATTTCTTTTTGACTGAAAAAAGAAAGACATGGACATCTTGGATGACATGGGGGTGAGTAAATTATCAGCAAAAGTTTTTTGAAAAGTGAACTAATCCTTTAACATAACTATCATAATATGGCTGGTTTCTATTAATTTCGAAGTCTATATTCACCGTTGATTCAGTTCTGTTAAATAACAGTAAAGATCATCAAATATGAAATGAGTCCAATTCATCTCTAAAGTAGCTCTGTAGATGTCCAAACAGTCATCGTGCAGCTCTGTTCAGTTCTCTTCTTATAGTGTCCGTACAGTCAAATCAGTAATACTGCTGAATATTATGTGACCCCAACTAAGTTGTCAATTTAGTGAATTACAACTGAATGGATTGCTTCTACAGTTGACGTGACCCCACGCTCTTGTTCTCTCCACAGTTGCAAATCAATCAGTCCATCATCTTCTGTAACTCTACTCAGCGAGTGGAGCTTTTGGCCAAGAAGATCACGCAGCTGGGCTACTCCTGCTTCTACATTCATGCAAAGATGATGCAGGTACGCGTTTCGTCGTTGTTAGATCCGGTTTAATTCAAATCTGTTTAGTCAAGTGCTTGAAACTTTACTTGTGACTGCAAACATATTGTGCTTCCTTTCATTCACATGGCAGGAATACAGAAACCGTGTTTTCCACGACTTCAGAAATGGACTCTGCAGGAACCTTGTTTGCACAGGTGAGTTTATCTCTTTTCTTTTGGATAACCCCAACCATAAAAATTACATTTTCTCAATAGTATTAGACTTTTGTTATCCCTAATTCAGTGAATGTGTGCTTTTGAAACAGATTTATTCACTAGAGGCATTGACATCCAGGCAGTAAATGTGGTCATCAACTTTGACTTCCCCAGGAATGCAGAAACGTATCTGCATCGCATAGGACGCTCAGGTGAAGTCGACAAGCATAAATAATGCTACTAAATTTTGGTCGACTCAGCCTCTTCTAGTCAACTAACGCTTAGTCTATTAGTGTGCAGCACTTCAAATTACAACCGCTTTTATTTGATAATGTATAATTTACTGTCTCTGTGTTTAATTTATAGGAAGGTATGGACATCTGGGTTTGGCAATCAATCTCATTACTGCTGAGGATCGTTTTAACCTGAAGACCATTGAGGACCAGCTGGTGACGGACATAAAGCCCATTCCCGGCAGCATCGATAAGAGCCTGTATGTGGCAGAGTTTCACTCGGTTGACCCTGACTGTGAGGACGATGCAGAGGCAGAAGCGGAGGTGTTTAAGCCTGCCAGAGGGTCTGACGCCCTTTAGGGAGCAACATTAGAGAGCAGGTGAAGACATACAGTTGGGTGGGCGTGTTAAGAACATTATGCACATTGTAATGGGTAAATTCATTCAAGTCTAAAGTTACTTTATTGATCCGATATCTAATATTGCAATGTGTTATTTCCATCTGAATCAGAGATCATTGGAGTGACTTTACCATCTGCTCTTTCTAGGACAGTTGGAGAAATTGAACCTGACTTTTGCACAAACATCTCCTATTGCACAAACCAGTTACTACTCGGCTCATATATTTCCTCATCTTTTCCACCTCCACAGTATTTTTTTTTTTTAGTCCCTGCTTATGTTTTGCTCTTTTGTTTGCATTCATTGTTCATTTTTGGGGAGTTATGCCTCTTTATAAATGACACATTCCATTTGAGACTTGCAATAATAAAAACAAAGCTTTCAGAGAACAGTTCCTGTTTGATAGAAAACTGTATTGGTGAAAATGGAGCATAGCATGCATCATTAGTTGAGAATTTTACTCAAACCTTACAACAAAACATGTTTAACCCAAGTGCCTTAATATATGTATCGTCTCTGTCTTAGACTGGTGTATGTCATCGCAATGTTGAAGTATTCCCAAAGACAAGCACGTCGGTGCTACCTGATTCTGTGAAAGGATCATTGGTATTGATTTACTTCTAACATGAGAAACATTTTCAAATTCTTTTCATATTCAGTCTGAGGCAGCTGTAGAAACCAGCATCCATTCAAATATTGCAGAGCTCAGGATTGAGGTGTCGACACTAACATTGCACTAAACTGCCTGAGGAAAAAAAACATCTTTTGCATTAATATTGGTGCTTTTTGAAGTTTAATTGGCAGTCATTGACAAATGGTTGACAGTATTGTACATTGGAAATCATTAAGAAACTTCGAGGTATAAATTGTGGTTTTTAAACGGATAGACGATTTGAGGAAATTTTTGTATCTTTTGATATTATTTTTATATGATTTTGAAACTACTACATAAGCTATTTGTAATTTAAATGGGCATGCCAAAACTGGCATAATGTAAAAGATGTCAGACTACTACATGAAAGCTGATTGAAGTCACCACAAATGATGTTAAAAATCAAATCCTCACATTTGTATGCACAAATACGTCAAATATTTGTCAAAAGGGGCTGTTTGGTTCATTTTTATTTTCATTTATTCGAAGGTTGATCAGTAGAGTGTTTTGTTGTTCCCTCTATACGTTACATATTTTAGTTTTCATTTCTTTAGATATTAATGAATGTATGAACGAAGTGGCAAATGAATGGACTTTATGCTATTTCTTTTTGTTTCTTTTTGCTAAAATGGTTGCTTTTATCTTTTACTGAATTTTGCCTTTGATTCATATTCTGTCTGTTGATACAAATACAAAAAAAAAGACAAGTACATAAATATACACATTATTTGGCAGTAAGGAGAGGTAACTTGTTTTATTTTTATTTGGGTGTTTGCAGGAGGAACTTTTCATAACCTTGTTTCATTTATGATTTTTTTTTTTTTTATCAAGACAGAGTATTTTTGTATTGCAAAATTGTAGCATCTTCTGAGAGGCAGCTGTGATTGATTGATATTTTTTTTTTCCACCCATGAGATGTTCTTTATTGTGGAAAAATAGTTATTGCTACGCAGGGATATGTGGAGCTTTAGTGTAGAAACCTCAGTTTGCATGTTCTTTTAACTTTTAAAACAGCAGTACAGGCAAATGTTTATTGCAGAGTTAAATTAGGAAACCTTGAGCCAGATTATATATATCTGCTGATGATGCTGTGCTGTTGAAAAAGAAATTTGATATTTCAAAATGGACAAACTTTAATTCTTTTTTCCATTCTGCAGTGATGAGCTGTGTTTTTTCTTTGTTGCTGTTGTTTATGGTGAGGGTGTTTCTGAAAATGAAAATGTACATTAATTAATGGGGGAGCAGATTTTGTGGGGACAAATGTTTACTTAATATTGGATTTCAGGATAAAAACTAAAGTAAACCAAAAGTGTGTGTGTGTGTGTGTACCGTATGTACCCAACAAATATGCAGACATGCATGATACCCTGTTTGAGTCTAATTGATGCAAGAATGCTTTAATGGTCATGACAGTGTGTCTGACTGTCTGATTGATTTATGTTTTGTCTTTGTTTATTTCATTTAAATAGCTTGGTTATATGTATAGACTTGGAATAGAATGAATGTGTAATCTATCCTAAAATTCAATACATTTAAATTAGAGATAACATACTCAGGCTTTTTACCTTTTTTACTCAATGTGAAACCCTAGGCCATTACCTGCATTTCCTTTATATATGCCATATATTGATTTAAGTACCTACCAGGGGATGTATTTTGCAGAGGCAACCCCTCCTAAATTATTAAACTCTTGAAATACCAGTTTATATTCTGTCAACAATGAATGAAAATATTTGAAATGCTCTTTGTGAATCTAAATGTATTTTAAGGTGGTTTATCTGACAATTGTCACTCAAATGTCAATTGTTAATACAAATATATAGAGAGAGAGAGAGAAAGAGAGAGTCATAGGCAATATTACTATATTTTAGTTCAACTGAACTGACTAGCTTTCATCTCGTCATTGGTTGTCAACATTTATTTCATTTCGCCACTAAAAGGCGATTCATTACACAAATTAAATAGCTAAGCATTGTTTCTACTTATAATTAAAGCTCACAGTTCTGGCTAAAAGACCATAAGCGACCTCCAACGCACATTTCATGACCTTCACGCAAATGCCCCTCTCAAACCTACATCATGTTTACGTAGTGATTGACAGGTAAACAGACCAATAGCCATTCAGCTTGGGTTTTGTCGAGCTGAAAGCAGGAGGACTACAGTTGCGAATCGGTTGTTTTGAACAGTTCATCTGAACGAACAATTCTTTTACGTCTTGGCCAGATGGTCTTGATGCAATTGCGTCATTTCGCTGTTTTGAAAACTTTTTTTATTACATTTCATTAATGATGAATATGTTTTAATTTTAACTTTGTTGCCGCCTAAATTCAAGTCATTAACACATCGATTACAATAATGACTCGAAAACCGCTCTAACGCTTCCCGCTTCTGATTCATTGAAAAGATCCGACTCCAAAAGAATAATTCAAATCGAACATCGCTTGAAACACGTGGTTCTGTAACCAGGAGAACCGTCCTCTGCGAAGCTCACCGTGAGTTGTCATTGAGCTTCTTTTTTATTATTAATTCTACAGTACTCATTATGTATAACTCAGCTAGAAAGACTTTTATGTGCCACATCTAAACGGTATTTATATCGCCAGTTGATGTATTGTCTGAGGAATAACAAAAAGCATGTGGCATTTAACTTAGCTTTCGAGCTAATTTATCAATGAATTAAGTTGCCGTAATGATACTGGTTGAAGTAAGTTAAGGTTACGTGTGTTGCATTTTGAGCTGGATGCTTCACAAAACAGCAGTAGCTAACAATTGTGTTTAGTCATTTATACAAAAGACCCTAACGTACATGCTGTTTATCGTCCACACATAAATTAGGTATGTGACAAACTGACTTATATACGCGTGAGCGCTTGTTCCCGCGGCTGTGTTCCCAGCAGGTATTCAGCGCAATACGCGTTGGTGACTAAATAAATCTGTCGTATATTTGCTTTGTGAATACCTCTAAAGCCCATATACTAGTGATGTAAATTACGTTATCACGTTGATTCTGACGTTCAAATTTCCAGGATGGCTGTAGTAAAAAGAAAGTTATAAGCAAAGCAAAATTTCTCACGTGTTTGGCATCAAAATCCACTATGAAGGGAAGTATTTTTTTGTTTCAAACCCAATACTTTTGAAAGATTATACATTTAACTTGAATTAGGTGAAGTTTGGGATTGATTGTTACATTCGCATGTGTTTTTTTTACGATCCGCAAGTGACGTTGTTGTCAAAAGCAGAATCAGCAATATTGGCTTCCAAAACTTCTCCCAGTTTTTAAAATAATTGTCAACTATTTTAATAATCGTTTTGTTGACAGAATTGTCTGATTTTTAGCCAGAATTAAAATAAAAGTTTGTATTTTTTGATGAAAACCCTGTCTTTTTAGATCTAGTGATGTGAATTAATCTCTATCTAACATATGTAAGTAGATTAAAATGAATAAATAATATTTTACTATTTAAATTGCTTGTCAGCATTAAGTCAAGAAATGCCCTACTAATGAAACAATGAAATTCATTTGTCAATGCCAATTGTCTGTTTAATACAATAAAAATGTGAATACAGATTTTATTTGAGAGGATTTCGATTTCTTATGGAAAGATATGTGTGGATTGATGCTCTCGGTTTCATCAGAGGAAGGGGTTAATAGAAATAATCAATGTGTATATATTCCTTTTAAAATGAGGTCATCTTAATCTTGTAGGGCTTTTAATTACCTACACTGTGGTGTTTGAATTATACAAATAGACCAAGAAATGTGGAAGTTATGATATTTTGAAGTGTTTGTTCAAGCGGAAGAGGTCACAGTTTTTCATTGTTTTATTGTTTTAATTAGGTACAAAAATGACCCCTAATTTCCCCTTTGGGTATTTTTATTATCTATCATACAGTGATGATTATATTTGAATTTCCTCGTATTGATTTTTTTTGTCACATACCTACATAAATACCCAAATTAATTACTGATTAGGGCTCACCATCTGAGCAAAGAATGTGCTCACCATCTCTGTTTTCTCGTGTCCAGTCTCAGAATGGGCAGTGTTTTGGCTGCCAGTGCCCCCAGCCCGCCTGCTCCAGGGCCAGGTGGAGCGGGTTTGGTGTCAATGCCCCCAGGATTCACGATGCCGTCCGTCTCACCCGGCTCTGTCCCGGGCAGTTCTTCAGCTGGGCTCCAGGAGACCGAGCCTCCCCTTCCGAACCCCGGTGGCTTTGAAGAGTGCCATCGCAAATGCAAAGGTAAACTTAATTAATTACTTCATAAAATAAATAAATTATGTATAGTCCCTGATAAACTAATCAGGGTAATCAGTGAATCAACACTTTTAACTAGCCATTTCAATTGTACCTGGGTTCGTGTATATTACATTGTTTTCAAACAACTGTACAAAATATTTATTTTATATTTATTAAATATTTTATATTTATTATGTGTGTGTACATGTAGTACAGGTCAAAATACTATTTTTAATGTTTTTTTTTTTAAGTCTCTTGCTCATCAAGCCTGCATGTATTTGATTACAAATAAAGAAATGTTTACCGTTTAAAATTATGTTTTTTAATATAAATTATACTTTAAAATGTAATTTATGTCTGTGATGCAAAACTGTTTTTTCATCAGCAATTACTCCAGTCTTCAGTGTCATATGATCTTTCAGAAATATTCTAATATGCTGATTTATTATCAATGTTGAAAACAGTTGTGCTGCCTAATATATTTTTTATAACCCGTGATACTTTAAAAAAAAAAAGATTCTTTGATGAATAATATGTTTTAAAATAACTGCATTTATTTGAAATAGAAATCTTTTCTAACAATATGTATCAAATCAGCATATTAGAATGATTTCTGAAGGATCATGTGAAGACCGGACTGGAGTAATAATGGCTGATGAAAATCCAGGTTTGCATCACAGAAATAAATTATATTTTAAAGTGTATTAAAATAGAAAACCATTATTTCAAATTGTAACAATATGTCACGATATTACTGTGTTTTTACCCAGTATTTTTCATCAAATAAATGTAGACCATTTCTGAAGGATCATGTTACTGAAGCCTGCAGTAATGATGCTGAAAATTCAGTTTTCAAAATATATTAAAATTAGGGCTGTTAAATGATTAATTGTGATTAATCGCATCCAAAATAAAAGTTTGTGTTTTCATAATATATATGGGTGCACTGTGTATAATTATTTTTATATATATATATAAATACACACACATGCATGTATATTTAAGAAAAAATATTATTTATATATAAAATATTTATATTTATGTATAATATAAATTTTACATAAATCTATATGCAGTATATACATGAAAATATTTTTTAAGTATATACAAGCATGTGTGTGTATTTATATATATAAAATAATTATACACAGTGCACCCACATATATTGAAAACACAAACTTTTATTTTGGATGCGATTAATCGTTTGACAGCCCTAATTAAAATAGAAAAGTTTTTTAAATATTATTTATATATGTTTTTTTAAATAATATTTCACAATTGATCAATTAAATGCAGCCTTGGTAAGCATAAGATTTTTTTTTAATGTTAAAAAATATTACAAGCAGTAAATATAAACCATTTGAACTGTATTTTATATCCTGCTTCCCCAGTTCAAAATCAATTCAAATTCAGGTTTTCCATTCGAATTTGAAAAGGTCTTCTCATTTCAATTGTACATTTTGCTTGAAATTTTGGTGATTACAAATTCCCGTTTTTTTACACTAATGTCTGTTTGTCCCTCAGAGGTTTTCCCCATGCAGATGGAGGGTGTTCGATTAACAGTCAACAAGGGCTTGAGCAACCACTTCCAGGTTAGTCCAGTGTGTTCACTGATGGAGCTGAACTTTTCTGGAGTCATGTTGTTGAAGAAAGTCTGTCAGTCCCTGGTTGTAGCCATCAACTCCTGTTTTAATTCCTAGGTGAACCACACAGTGTTGTTAAGCACTCAAGCAGATTCCAGTTACAGGTTTGGAGCTACCTATGTGGGGACCAAACAAATAGGACCAGCAGAGGTACATACTACAATGCAGTATACATAAATACACAAATGAAGAGTTCAGATGCAAAAGCCTCTAAATGCCATTTGAAATTTTCTTCTTTAATGATGATTTTTTATCAAACTTGTATATTTAAGTTCAGTAATTTCACTTAACTAACAATTAATAGTTGATTATCATTGCCATTTAAGTGAAATCACTGAACTTAAATATACAAGCTTGATAAAAATGATCATTCTAGAAGAAAATTTCAAATGGCACTTAGAGGCTTTTGCATCTGAACTCTTCAAATGTACTTTTTGATTTGAAAAATGAATTTGTGCTATTTACTCTAATGTGTATAGTTTACTTACATTTTTTTTGTCAGGCCTTTCCTGTCATTGTTGGGGACATGGACAACACAGGGAGCCTAAATGCACAGGTTATTCATCAGATCACAGACAGAGTGCGCTCTAAATTTGCTTTCCAGGTGTGTATTTGTGAAAAAAGAACCTTTCCCCTGGTTTCACAGACAAGGCTTCCAGACTAAACTGCATGTTTGAGCTGTTTTAACCTAAAGTAACTTGCTCTGGCATGTCAGTGCAATTTTGTAAATATTGTCAGTGCCAATGTTTTTTCTCAAGATGCACACCAGTAATGTTTTTTTTTTCTTCTTAGGAACATTTATAAAAGCTACTTAAAGGGATACTTCAGGATTTAGCACTAAGCTTTTATTTTCGAATTACCGTCATCATTTTGCATCATTTAAAAATCATCAGTTTGCATTCTGGGAGTTGTTGTTTTTCATCCACATAAGCCAAAAATACATTTCTGTCTTTTCTCAGTCTAGAAAGCTCCAAATTCAAAAATAATTTCACATTTCTTCGACACAAATGACCCAATTTAAATACTCATTCATACTCCTTTAAATGTCCTAATTGAATTTAGGTCTAATCCTGGCTTAATCTAATTCCTGTCTGTGAAACCAGCTCAATATGTGTTTATTTTTGATAAATTATGATCAAATATTAAAAGGATTGCTGGATGCACTGAAACACTTGTGTCAATTAGACGCAGCAGCAGAAGTTTGTTAACTGGCAAGGAGATGCTGAATTAAAAGGGGAAGATTTCACTGCCGCTGTGACCTTTGGCAACCCAGATGTGTTGGTGGGGTCTGGTAATAGTCTTCTAGTTTATTTTAGTTGCTGTATTTGTTTTAAGTCATGTCTTTTCTATAGTTAATCTATTTCCTTTCCGTTTTTCTCACCTCTCATCCCTTGCATCTCTCTCAGGAATTGTTGTAGCTCATTATCTCCAGTCTGTCACTTCGTCGCTGGCATTAGGAGGAGAGTTGGTGTACCACCGCCGGCCAGGAGACGAGGGCACAGTCATGTCTCTGGCAGGCAGATATACAGGTAAACGCATATAAAGAAAGAGTAGTAGTTAGGCATGTGAGTATCAATTGTTATATGTTAATGTGCCCCTATTAGGCTTTTTCAGATATTACATTTCATGCAAATTTTGAAAAAGATCAAAATGTATGATAAACGCTTTTATTGTCTCCCTTAATAAAGAACTGATTCTGAACTGCCTGAAACAAGTCACAGTAATTCCAATCTTACTTCCTGCACGAAAAAAAAAAGGCTTAATGCCAGCACGTGGTCTCCATTGGCTACTCGCGAAGAATGTGTACTTTGACCCTCAAACTCTGCCGTTGTAGCAGAGGCCTGGATAATGGTAATGGCCATTTCCCTTCTGACATGTTCTATTGATCAATCACAACAGACTGGGACAACTGACCAATCAGAGCAGAGTAATCTCTCGGAAAGGAGGGCTTTAGAAAGGCTGAATCCTTCGTCAAACCATTTCAGACACTGAGAAAAGAGGCGATGCTGCAATCAGAAAATGAAAGTGCTTTTGACCTTGGGTTTACAGTATGTAAACCTATTGTATGAGACCTCCAAAACAAAACTAGGAATCTTTAAAATAGCATAATAGGGGCACTTTAATAACAAGCTATTTTTTTTTCTTCAAATAACAAAAAGATAGTACACAATAAAATGTATAATGTAATCAGATTTTAGTTTTTAATTTTAGAAGTGTGACAGTACACAACTATATAGAAATTATAATAAAGATCTGATCATTTTCAGCCAATGTCTAGAAATCTTTTCTGGACTGGCATGTTTAACCCAGATTAAAAAAGTAAAAAATTTGGTTTAATAATAGCATTTTTGAAAACAGGCAGCAACTTTATCGCCACATTGACACTAGGAGGAGCTGGAGTTCACGGGTCATATTATCACAAAGCCAATGATCAGGTAAATGTTCTTCAGCAGAATGATTCATGTCTTTATTCATTCATTTATGCTGTTTTATTGCTTTATAATGACCTTTGTTTTGTTGTTTTTTGTATCAGTTGCAGGTTGGTGTGGAGTTTGAAGCGAGCACCCGTATGCAGGAGACTAGTGCATCATTTGGGTACCAGCTGGACGTCCCCAAAGCCAACCTGCTCTTTAAAGGTTGGTACACATGCATGCATGCATTCATCAAGATTTCATCATTTTGTAAAGTTGATGATGAATTCAATAATTGCCTTTGTTGTAATATTTCACAAGGCCATATCAGAAAGCCATATCATTCTTTGAGCAGCATTAGTGTCATCATTAAGTAGTCATTCCAAAGATTGTTGCCTGATATTTAAACTTAAATCCATCCCAAAATCCTCAATTGATTTAAAAAAGAAAAAAAAGTTTGTGATAAACCTTGATTTACAGAATCTTTCACTATCTGTAGGTTCTTTAGATAGTAACTGGGTGGTTGGAGCTACGCTTGAAAAAAAGCTGCTGCCTCTGCCTCTGTCTCTGGCCCTCTGTGCTTTCCTTAACCACAGAAAAAACCAGTTCCAGTGTGGGTTTGGCATCACTGTTGGTTAAACCTACCTTCTTTCTTTGTTAATTCGTCGGTTTACACACCAGTGCTGTTGCTGGTGAAACGGTAAAGGTTGGACCCACTTGCATATCCACACTTGTACAAAATCAGTGACTAAGAAGCAAAACAAATAAATATTTGAAGAGTTCAGATGCAAAAGCCTCTAAGTGCCATTTTAAATTTTGTTCTAGAATGACCATTTTTATCAAGCTTGTGTATTTAAGTTCAGTAATTTCACTTAAATGACAATTAATAGGTAATCTTCATTGCCATTTAAGTGAAATTACTGAACTTAAATATACAGGCTTGATAAAAATTATAATTTTAGAAGAAAATTTCAAATGGCACTTAGAGGCTTTTGCATCTGAACTCTTCATTTGTTGTTAGTTCCATGTATCAGACCAATCCCAGGGTTTTCATCGTGTTATTCTTGCAATGACAATTCCATAATCCCCCAAAAACGTAACGTAAAAACCAAGAAGGAATACAAATACACACATACATTTGTCATTCTTTTTATTGTTTGTTAGTTCAGGTCTTTTTATAAATTATTTCCTTGTTTATTTTTCATTTCATTGTCAAAATCTTTTAAAAAAGTGTTGCTGTACTCATGTAAGCACCTACATAAATAAAAAATGTGTGCATTGCTGGACAAACATGGCTAAATTATTCAAACAAAACATATCTAACAAACTGAGATGTAGGTATAATATTTATGGATGTATTATTTTTTTTTCTTATATATTTGTCTAAAGCTCTGTTCAATGGTTGCGAAACATCCAACTAAGCCAATAAAGTTTTCACGTAATATTCTGTTAACTAATCCCAAATCGGACATTTCCCACATTGTATGCTGTGCCTTTATAAATATGTATATTACTTAATGACTTCTGCAAAGTGGTAAAATAGGTTGTGTATGATTAAAAACTTTTGGTGAAAAAATGATTATTACAACTACTTAATATTTTGTCTGTAAAGGATATGACTTTACTAACATAAATAGAATTTGATTTAGTTAAGTGAATACATGCGACAAAAGAATATAGAAAAAAAAAACCTTTGTACCATTCTGTGTTGTATGTTCAGCAGATATCAGGCACTTTTAAACGCAGATAACTGTTGTGATGAAGAGGGCAATGTCCAGAAGGATTTTCTTTAAAACCTGACACATCAGTCATTATTACATCAACCTTACACATTAATACGTGCAGACCAACATGCATAGACACAAATGTACCTCTGTACCTTAAAGATAACTTCACATGACTGCAAATGAATAATAGGGAGAGAGTACTTTTAGTTTTTACTCTTTGTCCATATTCAGTGTATAAAGTTCATATTTTCATTTTAAAAAAATTGGATCTACATTTATAACGCCTATACCATGGTAATTGACAAAAAATGAATTAACGCTGCTACGAGGGTGTTTCTAATACAACGGTTTCACATCTTTCTTTCCTCTGACTACTGTAATCAGTCTCTCGATATGTTTCCCGCTTTTTAAAAGTTGTGAAAACGCCATGATGGATTTATTGGAGCAAATGGGAATCTAAAAGTTTACTTAACCATGATGACTTCCACTTTTCAGTACCCTGTCCCTGTTGATTTTAGCATGAATGATTTGTTAAATGCACAAAGTATTTTCATAGGAATGCAGACATAATTTTCACTTTCAATGCAAGTAGATCAATATAATTGAAGCTCTCTTGATGAGTTGATGGCAGTTTTGTGTAACTGGATAAATGCCTAAGACGAGTTACAGTATTGCTTAAAGTAACCTTTTACCTCACTGATGTACTGTTGATTTGTTCTTTTTTTTAGACTGTGTGTCTCAAACCAATAAACAGTCAAGTTTAAAACGAAATCAAGATTGTGGAACAATGTTTACTTTGTTCTTTTACTCTAATATAGCTAGCATAGCTTGCTGAAATGCCAATTTGAATGTGCAAACTAAATGCTTAAAAAGGGCAGAGATATACTCATCAACATTTCACATGTAATTTAAAATAATAGGAATAAGAATTTACAGACAACTGCAGATCCCTATTGTAACCTTATGTTGTTTTCCCATTAATTATTCTCTCACAGTTTTTCCTTATACATTGCAAACAATTTTATAAGCCAAACATCTTAAACTATTACAAAAATGATTTAAAACAGATCTTGATAAGTTAAATATCTAACTTAACTCAAAATAAACTAAGCTTAAAATTTTAAGTCAAGCACGAACACTTAATTTTTTAAGTTGAAACAACACGCTTTTTTTATTCTAATGTTGAATTTTAAGTTTACAGTAATCATTTTTTACAGTTAAAAAATACACTTTCAATTATTTTTGCGTTCAGTTGTTAAATGTGTGCTTCATTTTGAAAAATGTATAACTGAAATCTTTATGCGCAGGAAAACCTTCTATAGCCAATACATATGGCTTGTGAGAATGTTACCATGAATTCTGAATCATAAAGTATTAATAAACATGATTTCTATGAAAAATTTCTTTATCCAAATATTTTTTACATATATATGGTGGAATGTTTGGGGATTCTATATATTCTAAATCTGTATACACAAAATCAAAACATTAATAATTTTTTTTTTTGTTTTCTATTTATTTTTTTACAATTTCTCAAAACAGTACTGTAACACAAAACCAAAACTATCGGATTTGTTTTTTGTTGTTTTTATACAGTAATGCATCTTGAATACAGTTTGAAGTTTTGGTTTTGTGTTTAAAGTATGTTAGATTTCAAGAAAATGTGTCCTTTAAATATTTACATTTACATTTTAGACATATTTGTTATACAGGACTTAGTCACAGATCTGAGTTCCGTTAAGTTCAGTTGATTTCATGATGTGGAATGAGTGACATGGCATGTACAACTGACAGCAGGGCACTACCTTCTGGACTTTACTGCCTTTATCAGAGCTCTGCAACCCATTTATATACAGTGCTGATACCATCTCAACACTTACACACAGAAGAGGACAAGAGAAAGGTAAGGAACTGGACAAAAACTCAAATGAATGCATACTTATGTCTTTTTCATTTAAAGGGATACTCCACCTTTTCTTTTTCTTTTTTTTGGAAATAGGCTCATTTTACCACTCCCCCAGAGTTAAACAGTTGGGTTTTACCATTTTCAAATCCATTCAGCCGATTTTCTGATATTTAGAAGAATAACAGTAACCAGGTAGTTTCTGGTCTCATTGACTTCCATAGTAGGAAAAAAATATACTATGAAAGTTAATGAGACCAGAAACTGTCTGGTTACTGATATTCTTCTAAATGTCAGAAAATCGGCTGAATGGATTTAAAAATGGTAAAACCCAACCGAACTCTGGGGGAGTGGTAAAATGAGCCTATTTCCAAAAAAGGTGGAGTATCCTT